TATATACAAAAAAATTCTTGTGCGGGGGACTCAAAATTGTAAAATATTTAGTGTGTTTGGTTTGAGTTTTTTGAGATAAATTTTTTAAATTGAGTTTTTTTATTTTCGTATTTTTTTGTTTTTAGTGAATATTTTTAAAATTTTATACATTTTTATTACTTTTTTAGATGCACTTACTTAGATGTATCTAAAAAATAAAAAAATAGGAAGAAATATTTTTAAAAAACTAATAAATTCATAAAAATATAAAAAAATGTACTAAATTCTCATATATTTTTTTTGTATTTTTGGTATTTAGTGAATTTTTAAAAAGTTTTTTATAATTTTTTTACTTTTAAGTATATTTATGTTAGGTATGTCTAAAAAGTAAATAAACTGCTTAAAATATTAAAAAAATTAATAAAAATATAAAAAATATAAAAAAAAAAAAATAAAATTTTCTAAAAAATATTTTTAGAAAAACAAAACCAAGCAAAGTGGAAATCGAATGGCCAACGTTTTTTTTGTTTTTTTTTTGGGGGGGGGGGGTTAGCCAGCCTATGTTCAATTCCTTCATTACCAGGAGTCAAATACCCAAATCAATCCAAAACCCTTTAAGCCTCCGTTTGGAAAGTGGGTTGGTTTTTTGACTTTTTAAATTTTTTTGCTATTTTAACCTGAGCTAAAAAGTTTGGTTTTAGAAGGGTTTTTTGATTTTTTAATTTTTTGTACTTTTTTTTGTGAAAGAAGAGTGTAATGATTATGAATTGAATGTGATGTTTTATTTATTGTGACTAAAATAACCTATTTTATGTTTTGTGGCTAGTTTAGCCCTAAAACCACTTTCCAAACAAGCAACCACTCCATGCTCAGTGGCCTCTGACGTAGACCTACATTGGCCCACACCCATATCCGAGAGCTTCTATATACACACACTTAATCCCCTCAATACACACACTTAATGATATTTAATTTTATTACAATTTTATCCCTAAGTGAAATTACTATTTTAGACACCATTGTTAATTGAAAACATCTCAATGCACACCTCATATGTGAATTCACATCTGTTGCATCGTGTGTGTGTGTGTGTGTAGCTTGTGGATGCTCATTCATAGCTTGTTCCATCAATTTCTGTATATGATGTTCATTGAGGTAGAAGTGAAACCAAAGGGCTTTGGCATTTCCAAGTTCATCAACCTTCGTCATTCGTAGGGAAAACATCATTGTTATGGAGGATTTGCCTTCTGAAAATCAGCAAATAAGTGTTCATGTGAAGCAGAGCGAAGGAAATGTGAGTTTAAATTATTTTTTTTTCCCAGCGTCGTTCGGATAACCAGAGCAAAATTGTGTTATTTGGTTCGGAAATCTACTACCGAAATAATTATGTATTTTCGGAAGTTGATGTCCGAACAAAGTAATAAATTTCGAAAGTTGTTGTCCGAACAACATATTTAAATTCGGAAGTTGTTGTCCGAACAGAGGTAATTTTTACAACATTCAACTTCCAAAATTTTAAAAAAAATTCGGACAACTACTTCCGAATGAAGTAAATTTTTTTTTTCCATTTTATATTCCAAATTTGCAAACTGCATATCAAATTTACAGTTTCAAATTGCAAATTAATCTTTATAATGCCATTAAAAATTTGTAATGTTATACAAAACATGCAGGAATATGTGTCAACTCAAGGAAGTCAGGTTTGCACGGATTTTGTGTTAGATTACACCACTCAATTCACAACTGAACAGGTTCAGTCTACGAAATTATAACGATTATGTTTCGAATTGCTCACCAAATGTAAATGTTTGATAATATTTATTTAACTTTGTAGGTATTCAAAAGTAAGGATGAATTGCTCAACTGGGTACGTGAAGTTGGAAAGAGAAATGGTTTGGTCATTGTAATCAAAACATCAGACTATGGTGGAGGAAAAAAAAGACCCAGGATGTATCTTGCTTGTGAGAGAAGTGGCCAATATAGAGCAACAAAGAAGTTAAAACATGATGGCAACAATACATCAAGAATAACCGGTACGAAGAAGTGTGGTTGTCCTTTTGATATGAGGGCTCACAAGTTTACCACACATGATGAATGGACATTGACCGTAGTATGCGGATTGCATAATCATCTACCTGCGGAGCACCTCGAGGGACATTCATATGCGGGGAGGCTATCAAAGGATGAGAAAGCATTGTTAATGGATATGTCAAAGAGCATGGTTCGGCCAAAAGAAATCCTAGTAACCTTGAAACAGCGAGATGCCTTCAACGTAAGCACACTTAAAACCATTTACAATGTACGCCATCGAAACAGGGTGGTACAGAGAGTTGGAAGATCACAGATGCAACACTTATTGGGTGAATTGGCCAAGTATAATTACATTGAGCGCCATCGGTCTGAAGAGTCCACGATGACTGTGACAGACTTGTTTTGGGCACCTCCTACCAGTTTGGACTTATTTCGGTCTTTCCCACGTATATTAATTATGGATTGCACATATAAAACCAACAGATATCGGTTTCCTCTTCTTGAAATTGTGGGAGTGACATCAACTAAAATGACATTCTCTGTAGCTTTTGCATACTTACAGTATGAGAGGGTCGATAACTATACGTGGGTGTTAGCTACATTGCGTGATGTCATGGATGGGTTTGTTGTGCCAACAGTTATTGTTACTGACAGAGAGCTAGCCTTGATGAATGCCATACAGAAGATATTCCCAAGTGCCAGACATTTATTATGTCGTTGGCATATCAGTAAGAATGTGTTGACCAAATGCAAAAAAATGTTTGAGACACAGCAAAAATGGGAGAAGTTCAACCATGAGTGGAACTCTGTAGTGTATTCATCTTCTGAAATTCAATACGAGGAGCGTCTTAAATCATTACTTAAGGAATTCAGTAGTTATCCTGATGCAGTCAAATACGTCATGGATACTTGGTTGGTTCCTTACAAGGACAAATTTGTGGCGGCATAGACAGACACGTGTATGCATTGTGGCAATGTTACGAGGAGCGTCCTTCGCCACACTCATGGTTTACCTTGCGCCCATGAGATTGCTGACTACATCAGACAAGATCGTCCTATACCACTTGCTACCATACACTCACAGTGGAGGCAACTTCATATCTCCATATGCAAGAAAGAAGAGGAAACAGAGGTGACTTGTCATGCAGAAGTAGAGTTGTTTGTCAACAAGTTTAATGAAAGTGATAGAACCATGCGATTGGAGCTTTTGAAGAAGTTGAAAGAGATTGTATATCCGGGAAGCACTTTTCTTGTTGAGCCGGAGGTGAAGCCCAAAACACGTCCTCGGGATCATAAGAAGATCAATGTTTCTACCCGTCGTGACCCGTGTGCATTTGAGTTAGTGCAATCTGGACATGATTCCTTCTCACCTAGGGACACTCAAATCACTACATTAGCTTCTACTCTGCAAACCAAGAAGAAGCGACCTGTTAAGGGAAAGGAGAAGGTGAACC